CCCTATAGGACAAATAATATAAAAATTTTATATAAAAATGGGAATTTAAAAATAAGAATATAAAAATTATAAGAATTTATTGGTATTCGAACGCGTTTTGTTTGACCAAACATGGTGATGCGGTTTTACATTCATGCTCTGTATCTGCTTTAATTCCATAAACGTGGCCTTTCCAAACGGCCCGTAAACAGCTAGCAGAAAAGGCTGATGCACAGCGCGCGCTTTAGCGATACAAGGTTATACGTAAATGTTCCATTTTGCACAATGACCTCAGAATATCGGGGTGAATGTTCACTATGACGAATTTTAGCCGAATGTGAGGAATTTTTTTTCACGGACCACAAGTTATGAACTTTCGAACTTCAACAGAAAATGTTATAACTTTAGGTGTACAGTACAACATTGGGCACACGGTGCTCAAATGGGTGTACAGCGATGAAATCGATTCCAAGCTTGGAGACGGCTTCATGTTGGATGTTATGAAGACCGCCCACCGATTCAAACTCGCCCTTGTCGAAAAGTACGTTCATATGATGTTGCATGGACCACTAATCACGGAAAGTGAAATCGTCTGTGTAGGTGCGAAGAAATTTTAATCGCCAGGCTGGACAGGACGAACTGCCTTCGGTTTTATAAAGAGTCAGAAGAGATCTGCGCCAACACACTGAAATCTAAAGCTTCGCAGTTCATAACCAGTTTCTGGGTATAATTTTGCGTTACTTGCTTCCCGTTTTCTACTGCAGGTTTGCTGCGTTTTAGGAAGAGTTCACGAGCGAAGATTTCGAAGCGATGTCCGCTCCGCTTATGTACAAATTTTTAAAATCAAAGGTCGATTTGCCGTTGCATAATGCCATCAGGCTTAAACGCGAGGACGTCGTCTTTCTTTTCTTAACCGAATATCAGTCGCAGGTATAATATTCTAGTTACAAATGTCATTGTTCTTTTCGTATCGTTTGTTCATTCATGAATTGTTACTGCTGATTGAGAATCTTAGGCTGCATGGTAAGACACAAAATGATGAACATTAAATCACGAATACGATTTTGGATACAGATGGCAAAATGAGGTTTTTCCCTCGAAGGATTACTTGTGTGCAGTGACTAGACGATGTGGTAGCTCTAAACACCTGTGACTCTAAATCGCTCTTTTTCCAAGTTAAGAAGACACAATTAGGATGGTTTCGACATGTGATGAGAATACCACATGGAAGATGCATAAGGCGTAATTTCATTGAAAAGCCACTGTGTAGACACACTGCGGACCGGATGAATTGAGTGTATAAAAGACCTGGCGTTGTCACGCATTGGAATCTAGACCATCGAGTATGTTCATTTGGCGGCTGATGGACACCACTGAAATTCTTCCCGTAGCCTTGCATAGAAAATGACAGCGAGGCAGCTGAGCCGCACCGATGCACACAAATCACACTCCGAATCGGAAATAAGAATTTGTTGGCAGCAATGGTCGTTTGAGAAGTAAGAATTCGCTTCTGGCTGTGAAAAATGACATACGGTGCCAAGAAACTCATGAACCTTTCTTTTTGCGGCATCATTCCTTGCATTGATAATTGACGGTTCTTACTTGTCTGACGCATAGCTGCTATTTCTGCTGTTTCACTGTTACGTAAGTCATGTCTGTTTATATGCGTTGCTTACGCACATATGATCCTCATGGTTGATATGTTAATTCATGAATTTGTGCTGATTCTTGAAGCTAGTCTAAATCAATAGTTCTTCTTCCGTCTCCTCTAAAAGTCAAGTTAACTAGGAATCGAGTTTATCACGGTTCAGGCTTCATTATTAAAATAGCTCATTGATTATTGCCTGTATGTTGCAGTTTTGTTTGTAAGGTAAGCTTCCTGATTGTTCTGCATGTTTCCTAGTTTATCATCATATTGACGAAGTTCTGAATTCCCATTTGTGCGTATAAAATACACTTGTCTTTTTTATGATGAATTTACATGTTGTTAAGCGGTAATGACCACGACGTCCTAACCTCCATGCTTTGATCATAAGGACCAAAAATTTCATTGTCTTTATTGCAGATCTGTGTATTAGTTCGTACCAGATCAAAGCAAATCAAGAGCTTACTGTTTAAATTAGCAGGAATAGCATGTAAAACTACCACCGACTAACATTTCAGCAGTCGCTGATCCATTTGTATAAAAATGTATATGATGCACATGAACAAACAAAATGAACAGCAATGATATGAGGAACAACAATGACAGTGATAGAGCGGGGACGAATTTGTGGATATAAAGTTAATGTAGATGAATTCCTGAATGCATGGGATAACATGAGAGGATCGATTGGAGCAAATTCCGCCTTTCCCGTTCATCGTTTTACAAATTCCAATCTATTTGCAGAATCATGGATTTTCTGTAGGCCTCAATCTTTGCATAAAGGCAGACATATTTAACCTTGTGGAACGAAATCTCGAGGTGCAGTTTGAAAACGCCTGTTTCAACGGATAGAAACGATTGATTAAAATGGATTTACAACAGACGTTAAAATCTGATCTACCAAATCTCTACATTCGTATAGAACAACTGACCTGTTTGCATAAGTCCACTTTACGAAGGAAGATGTACATTGGTGACGTATTTGTGATTAGGAGAAGTATGCAGGTTCTAGAAAGCAATATTCTGATTCCTTTGAAGGTTTTTCATGATGTCAGACGTTTCAAAAATTAGCTGTACCGTTGTGCTCTGATGACTGCTTTTTTTGCTTGTAAACTGAAGTGTAGACTTTAGTCTATTGTGATAGAAGGTAGTTTGTACTGAAAACTATGTGTATTTTTTCTTTTAGTTCTGCGCCGAATTTGAGATGACGAAGCAGTTGATTAATCTGCTTCCAGGGTGCTTTTTGAACCGGAATAAATAAAGTTTTATTTTGGAGTCATTAGTGACAGCCATTTTCCCATGACCAGTCCTGAATAGAATTGATGCTTTTGTACAGTTCATCTAATGAAGCAACTGTACACAGTATCAAGGTACTCTCGATATATTTGATGCATTTATTCGAAGAATTGACGTTGCATGCGCCAGGATATAATGGAAGGAAAAGCGGAGATTAGATCGTTCCCTGGAGAATTAATACTGAGTGTGATTTAATGGTCGTCTTTAAAACAGTACTAAGAGTGCAAAGAACCGCTCAAAACATTTCACGAGGCACGTTTTTAAATGCAATACTGTAGTCCAAAGATGAGCAACAGGTTATGCAGCCGCCTTTGCCAAAAACATTCCGCAACTGCATTTATATAGCTACATACATGGAAGAAAGATTTACTACCACTGTTCGAATTTATTCTGCTGACGTCAGAGTTCACAGTAAGCAAGCGATATGTCTACTTTCCCTTTCAGGCCTCTCTCTCTCCAATCTACCCTCACTTATGATCGTGAATGCTTGATATTGAACAACATAAGGCGGATTGCATAAATAAGCAGAACAAAGGAGCTTCTTTCAATCAATTGCTAAATGTATGAATCTCTACAACATTTGAAGTTCATATGCGTATGATATGTTCCTCGATGTACAGCTTCTTTTGCGAGAACTCTGTGCGGTGGTTAGAGCAGATGATTATGATATTAGAAGAGAGATTTGAAATCGAGCTGTTCTACCAAAGTCACGCGCAAGGCGTCTAATGCAGACTGACGACCAGTTAGTTAAGATTTTGTTTTCATTTATTTTGTATGACGATTTACGGGTTCTTTGTTTTGGTGGTAGCAAGCACGTTGTCACAGAGACCATTGGAAGCTTACCGTGCTTCCGGTGTTTGTGCACCTGGTATCTTGGAATCCATTTCGTAAGTCGAACCTCCTTTTAACAAAGAACCGGGTCGCCTTTGGAAGTCTTGTTAATCGGCTGTCCCACAACAGGTAAATAATGGCTGTTATAAACGGATTTTGCGACAAGGCAAACTGATATGCAGCTCAGAAGACCTGCCTGTAGGTTAGTAGGTGTCTTGAAATTGTATAGCATGGTTGCAATAACATACAGTGATAGAACATTTTGGTATCTTGCAGTTACTATCCCCACTAGTACGTCAGAGAAGTAAAGGTACATAAAGTGGCTTTATCAGATAGCAAAGTAAACGATGAGAGACATGCGCAGCTGTTTTCTTTTATTCCTTTGTTGACACCTCAGACAATCATTTTCACTGTTAGTCACCATGCCATCATTTTAGCTTTTTCTCACTGTCTTTAATTATTA